TAAAATTCTGGCTGCAACATGTGTCATCCAATTTGAAAAAAGAACGAGTTCTCTCACGGTCAGAAGAATCACTTCTTAGAAACTTTGATATTAGTCCAATGGTGAATCAGGAGAGACCTCTTCGGATTGTTAAATGGGCTAAACCGACGGCGGGTAGAGTAAAGCTAAATGTAGATGGAAGCTGTCTAGGCAACCCAGGTATGGTTGGTGGTGGTGGGGTTGTAAGGGATGAAACGGGCAGGCTGATAGCAGGTTTCTCTTCTTTCTTTGGATATGGCACTAACAATGAAGCAGAGTTGAGAGCGCTTACTGATGGACTGACCTTGTGTCAGGATTTGGGATTATATCAAGTGGATATTGAATGTGATTCGTTGTTAGTGGTTTCCTCGATTCTGACAAGAAAATGTATGTTATGGTACTTGTGGGATTTTTGGGAAGTTCTCATAAACCTTCTCAAGAAGTTTGATTTTCACATCATGCATCAGTATAGAGAAGCTAATCAGGTTGTGGATGAGCTGGCGAAATTAGATGCTAAGGGGAAGACAGAACGGTTTTTATCATGTATGGAACTACCAAGGTTTTGTCGAGGATTGATCCGTCTAGACAAGATGTGTGCGGTGTACATTCGTCAAAAAAGATAGGCTTTTTTCCGTTGTTTGATTACATTGATAGGAGTTGAGATTATTCGTTATTTTTATTGATTGATCGGTTGTTATTACGGTTTTCCTCCACCTTAAGTGAGGGTTGGTATGAATAAATGTCTGATGGGCCTAAAAAAAAAATGTGATAAGTGAGTATTAAAATTTTCTTTAATCGGACTGTAACATGCTTTGATCTATTGATTTCTTCGACAAAATCATCCACTTATCTTGATTTCTCGATCTGAAATATCCATGAATTGGGGTCCTTGTTTCATGAACAAAAAGTGTTTCATTCTGTAAAATAACCCGATTTTCGGTGATCAACCACTCAAGCTTAGTTCTTGCATTGCACTCATTTTCTTTGTGGGCTGCAATGAACAATGCTAGAACATTTTCTTGTGGAAATGGAAATGTATGTCGTTTATTATACATGATTTTTATAAAGTGTGGGAACAGATGTAGAACGGAAAAGGAACTCGATTGGAAGGGTAAGAGCAGAGAGCATTTTGGTGTATAGAAATAAGGAAAGTACCGACCTTGAGTATAGACATCAATTTTCTATAGTGTTCGCAAATAAGGAAAGTGACGCTGAAGCCGTTATTGTCAAAGTTCAAGTTTGTGCAATTTCCAACCTTCTTGTTTTTGTGCTCATCTTTTCAAAGCATTAGTGAAGACAAAAATCTAATAGAAAATACGCAGAATTGACAGCACATATTCTTTCAAAAAAGAATTTTTTAAATTTACTCATTTTGATTTCGAATCAACTGATTTACAAGTATTTAAAATTTAGTGAAAAAGCAAAACATGAAGAAACAGCAGAACGGTTAAAACAAATCAAACAAATGTGAACATGAAGGACTTCAAAAACTTTCAAGTGTCGCAGATTCAAAGACCAGATTTGAAGCTAACACCTGCATCAGGAAGCCATTTCTGCCCATGTATGAATGAGTCAACAGTAAACTTTTTGGCCTGCTTTGCAGTAATATTAAGGTTCAATCCTTTCCAATTGACCCGATTTTTGGTCACAGCTCCAGGGCCAAAGTTCTGGAATTCAGCATAGAATATGGTGTCCGGTGCACTCGTGCCCACCCATGGCAACCACCCCTTCGGATCAATGAAACTTCCCATCATGCTTTGCATGTAAACAGTTGTGGAGTAATTTTTCCAAGGCCTCCCCAAGAAAGTGTTGACTCCAGTGAGATTGCCAGCGGGCAAAATGGTGCAGTTTTGAATCGAAATTCCAGTGTTCTGATTTGGATCGATCTTGCCTTGTGCGGTGATGGTGTTCTGTTGGCCAGGCATGGGCTTCTTGGGGAGAATGTTGCAGTTCTGGATCACAACTGCTGCATTCCCGAAGATGAAATCGACCGTACCATATATGTTGCATTCACGGTAGAATTGGCGATTGGAATGTGAGTAGAGAGTATCTTGGAATGCGTCCATGTTGCATCGGTAGAAGACAGAAAGATCAGCAGTCGACATCAAGGCCACTGCCTGATGCTTGGCAGCTCCAGCAGTATTGTGGAATCCCATGTCTCGAGCTATAAATCCTTGTCCAAACACAGCTATATAGAAAAACCAAAACATTAGCTAATATATTGTCTATTGTAATGTCCAAAATAATAGCTCTATGTAAAAGCAAGACTCTGGTTAAAATGGATTTCCAAAGCTTTACTACATCTTACCAAATGTTGCAGATTGAAATGTGGGAGTTCCATCAACAAAATTGAGGCTGCCAGAAACAATGGTTTCATCCCTTCCATCGCCAAGGATCATAACGTTCCATTTTGTCTTCTCGACCCTAACATTTTCGACATAAAGTCCCTTCTTCACATAGATGACAAATCTCTTTTTACTCTTCTCCGGCACAGCCTCGAGGGCAGCTGAAATAGTCTTGTATTTTCCAGAGTCATCTTTTGCCACCACGGCATCTGCCTTAATCTTTGAATTCGGAGCTTGTAGAAGTTTCCGGTCCTTAAACGACAACCAATTTGGCTCTTCACTGCCGCTGAAACTCATCAAACGACGCCTTCCAATCCCACCCAATGAACCAATAGACTCTTCAATCGAGCTAATGATGGCCCCACTATTGCTGGTATATTCAGTGGAACTCTAGGTTTTGAACCATAATACTGCTCAATCCATTTGAAGCGTTTTCAAGGCCATCTATGCATGTCTGCTGATAAGTACCCGCAGAACTCAACCACGTCCTGAGATCTTCAAACGCCTCGAACAATTTCATGTCTTCTATGGACAGTGATTTATTAAGATGATCCAACGCAAGAGAAATCAAATCTTGGCAACTTTCCAAGGCAGCAACTGTCATTTTATCTGTGATGTTGAATTTCTTGATTCCATCGTCAAAGAAATCTTTCGAGACCATAGAAAGCTCGTTTATCGCGACTTGGACCGACAATTTGTAGATGTCTTCGGGCTTGAAATTGTCAGACTTCACAAGAGGAGACATGCTATTGTAACATGAATCTGGATACAAAGTAACATCGCACAAAGCTTTGATAGCAGAAGACATGGACTTATTTTCACCCTTAGATTTGCCATTTTTGCTTTGAGTTACTCCAACCACAGGAGCCACAACAGCAGCTACAAGA